ATGATTAGCACGCTGCCTAGTAGTAAGGCTATCATGCATGTGAGTATTGACATCCAACATTGACCTCGTGTGTTCTTATTGATTTTGGCCAAAAATTTTAGTTTCATATTTATATAAAACACCAAAAACATAAGATTTATAATCAAGCATAGCTAATTCAAACGAGTTAATCATAATTAATTAATCATATAATTGAAGATTCAATAGAGGCTCGATACCAATTGAAGGGAACATGCATCCTATGGAGGTGCGAAATAAATAAAAAAAATTTCTTTCATCTAAGGCCCCAAGATCGAGTCGTTGAATTTACCAACCATACATACATGAATAATAAGCTATATGTAAAAACATAAAGAATTACCTCTTGTAACGTAAATCTAAAGTCCTTCTCGGAAAAGTCATCCAATTGTTTGACCTCTATTAATGATTCACGCAATCCAAGTATCCACAAAGAAGCACTCAAAATCAATAGGGTGCTAGCTCCACCTTTTCCGATTTAGTATTTCCTCTACAAATCAATCTCCGAGCAATTTTGTGACAACCTTAAAGGAGAAGGAAATACTATTTCTTGCTAGGATTTAGGAGAAAACTACTTTCTCCTTATTTTTCTCTCATGGCCATGTGTCCTATTTAATTTAAGGCTAGCTGAAACTTTGCTCCCTTTATTTTTTTTCTTTGGCCGAATGTTGCTATGTTGTTTTTAACTTAGCCGAATACTCTTTAGGTTCCTTAATCTCTCCATGCCGCACATCTCCTCCTATTTATAGGAGAAGAGTTTCCTCGTCCTTCGAGGATAAAGAGAGGGGTGGCTATAAGTCCTTTTAAGACTCTAGGTTGTTACTTTCTTATTCCTTAAGGATGAGGAGTTATTTTATATGTAGACTATTTGATTATTATCTTTAAAACATTCGAGTCTTATACAATAAGGTTGATGTTTATCCTCCAACCAAAATATCTTAAGGCTTTTAATTTAACCTAATAGGTCAAAACTATTTTAGCCTAATTAATTTATTTGGACTATCCAAATAAATATTCTTAGATTATTTTGGCGAGGTCAACATTAGGAATCAATTTTCTAAAATACCCTTTAACCTAAATTAGGATACTCATTTCCTTTTAGGTTCTTTATTTCCAAATTTAAAAATTTCTAAATTAGGAAATCAATTTCTAAAATAGAAAACTTTCCACTTTAGTAAACTTCCATGATTAAGAAAACTTTTCATCTTAGGAAGCTTTTTATAATTGGAAACTTTTTTCAATATCTTTGCTTCTCATTTGTAATCCGAGTACTTAAACTTCTAAGTGTAACTCAATAGGCTCCTAGATATGTTACAATGTATCAAGAATAAAATAGTCCTTTTTTATCTATTGATACATAAATCAAGATTGACCTCTAGCAAGGCATCATGACTACCCAATTCTCTAGGAGGATTAGTTAATCTATTTTTACTTTTCACGAGCATGGTTACCATACAATTCAGTCCTCGTGTTAACTTATCACAATGTGATCTCGAACTTGGTTATTAGTCTTATTCGATTATGATCACATAAGTTTTTTTTTTATTCGCAAATGTCTTAGGTCTTAGAGTAAACCAACTATGCTCTATTGGTATACTCCTACCGTGACCACAGATTTCTTGAGCGGACATTTATTGAAGTGCTATATGATAACTCCTTTAACATACAAGGAATGATATATCATATCTTGGTTATACACCTACCTCCATTAGATTCTTAGTACACCCAACGAATCGCCCACGTATAACCCATTAATAGGTCCATGAAAATAAGTGTCAAAATACATAAATCCTCCAATGAGACAACCGTGACAACTTCAAATCTAAGGACTATTTATATCCATTTTTATGAGATTCCCATATACTAAAAGCAAATGGGTTTTCATGGCGACTCAAGTCTAGTGATATGTTCTCTAACATACATTACCTAAGTGCTTGTTTTGGCATTACCATGCTAATAGGTATAAGATCTCCTACTGCTATTATATAGTATGAGCATAGCACTCATAAGTATATCTACATATTGCTAATGCCCATTCTTGATAATTCTATGACTTGAGATATTTAATGATATCATTTATATGTATTAGTGTTTGTCTCACATCTTTTGATCAATCACTATTGCAAATGCATATCATAAGGAATTCTATCTAATTCTACTGAATTTATCAACATGTAAACATAAGAATTAATAGAATGACTTCTTTATTATTATTAAAAAAAATGATGTAATAATACATTAACATGAGTCCATCCAAACATGATTGGATCTTAGGCACCAACACTAACGATGATATATCTCCTTCCATCAAGATCTCTAGCATAATCAAAGTTAATATAACTAACAACACAACAACTCTTATCTCCCATATACCAAACAAATATCCAATGTATCCGTCAAATACTAAAAGATTTGTTTAATAGCCTAATATTTTTCATTGGATTAGTAAGGTATTTGCTAGCCACCATAATAATACGAGCTAAATCTTTACGAGTATTTAGAAAAAAAACACCTAGCCACTCTTCATCTTAAAAAAAAATAAAAAATAAAACCTTGTCGACCATCTTTACTATAAAAAGATGGCTTTCATGGCTTTTCTAAACTAACCTCTACCTCCACAGATCACGACCAATGCACACCTTTCTCTCCACATCCCATCTCTTCACTAGAAACTCTACAAAACCTTCTATCATCGTCACCTATTAGCGACCCCTCCATTCGTTGTAAAGCTTTACCATTTACGCCTCCCTCCTTACCAAACTTCACCATTACCAATAACCTCATCTATACAACCCATCCATAAGACTACCACCTTACTCTCTCATAAGAAAAAACATAAACACTTAGTATACACACCCTCACCCATAACAATCTATTGCCATTTCCCATCACTACTGACCTCCTAATGCAAAACTACCAAGGGAACACAAATGCCCTATACCAGCTCCTTCACCATCACAAACCCTTTACTAAAAACCCATCTCCTCATCATTTAGCCATGGTTAACATAGTAGTCACAACCCTAAAACCTCTACCCCCACTACTATAACAACATCTATTGTTTGTTTACCTTTAAGTCTAGCCAAACATCAACCATGTTTTTACTAGTGTAGGTGCCCAAAATCTAACCATGTTTGAACGAGGTTTGATTTATTGTATCATTGCATGATTTATAATAAAGAATTCTTTCTATTAATTCTTATCATTTACATTTATTGATTGAATAAGATTATATAGAATTTCATATGATATGCATTTTCATTAGTAATTGATTAAAAGATGTGAGATAAACACTAATGCGGATAAATGATATCATTAAATGTCTTAAGTCTTTGCATTGTCAAGAATGGACATTGACTATATGTGGTTAGACTTGTAAGTGTTATGCTCATGTTATATGATAGCGAGTAGGAGATCTCACACTTATTGGCATGATAATGCCAAAGCAAGCACTTAGGGGATTTATGTTAGAAAACATATCACTAGACTTGACTCGCCATGAGAACCCATTTGGTTTAGTTGATGAGAATCTCATACGAGATGGGTATTAGTGGCCACTTGGACTTAAAGTCATCACGGTTATCTTATTAGAGGATTTATGAACTTTGACACTCATTTCGATGGACTCGATAAAGGGTTGCATGTGGGCGATTTGTTGGGTGAACTAGGAATCTAATGAAGGTAGGTGTATGACTAAGATAGAACATGTCATTCCTTGTATGCTAAATGAGTTATTGCATTGCACTTTATTGGAAGATTAGAAGGAAAAAACCTAGATTTATTGGGATTGATATCGGATTAATCTTAGAAAATCATTCCTAAAATCGGGGACATCGATTTATTTTAGAAATTTCCTAAAATAAATATGTTGTAATGTAGTATATAATTAAGGAATATTGTTATGTGTAGGGATTTAATTTAGGAATAGTCTTGTATATATATCTTAGTGATTTATGATGAAAATAGAGTGAATTTTTCTCCAAATCACTTCTTATTTCATAGTATTAGAGCTCGGTTCTCTAGTGACTAAAACAACAACCTAATTCACAATTCAATCTGTGAATAATGGTAAAAATTCCACCAACCTCATCAATGGATGATTCATCCATCAATCATGCCTACCACAAATAAACGACCACCCCCATCTTCCTAATCCATCATCATAGTCATAGTACGTCAGAATCACCTAACACAAACTAAATGGAACCAATTTCTATGAGTGGCTCCAATCTATTTTCTTGGTAATTAAAAGCAAAGGGAAGGTTGGTTATTTAACAAGAACAACGTCTTTGCCATTAATTATTACTTTAACCGTGGTATATAGGATGCTGAAAACTCAATTGTTATGGTATGGCTCATCAATTCTATGAAGCCTAAAATTGGTATAACATATCTCTACTATAAAGCTGCTAAGGATATTTAGGAAGCGATGTAAGAGATCTATTCGGACCTAGAGAACACATCTTAGTACTTTAAGATTCAATCTGTAATTCACACAATGCATCTAGAAAATATGATTTTCACTCGAATACTAAACTACTTTGATGGAGTTACGGTAGGAGATGGATTCATTTTATGAAATTAGTTGGGACTCTCCAACTAATTCCGTGAAATTTGACAAAATGTTAGAGAAGGAACGTGTTTTTGACTTACTTCAAGGTCTTAAGATAGAGCTTAATGAAGTACGAGGAAGAATACTTAGTATAAAGCCTCTTCTAACTATTTAAGAAGCATTTGCTAAAGTTCGGAGAGAGGAGAGTCGAAGGAGGGTAATGTTTAACTCTTCATTGAATTACAACTCGGACATGATCCCATAAAATTCAACCCTCACTGTAACCAAACGAGATGATGCTTCTCTTCTTTTTGGGATCAATGATCAAAGGATAAGCAATGGTGTGATCATTCTAATAATTCATGCCATACCAAGGAGACATGTTGGAAGATACATGGAAAACCGATAGAAATGAAAGCCTCAAAATCATATGGAATCAAACCAATCAGCTTATGCAATAGAATCTACTCCTAAAAGTGGGAAGACTAGCAATCCGAATCTATCGGTAGATCGGATTAAAGTCTTTCACCAACTCCTAAATCAAACCAAGTTGTCTACGAGGTCAAATCCAACAACCTCTTTGAACCCAATAGCCTCAATGGCCTAAAAAGTTAATACAATGCACTCCCTATTAACTCATAAACTCACCGATAGTTATTGGATAGTGGATATAGGTGCATCCAATCACATGACTTGGTTTCTTGGATGCTTTGTCAATTTATGAGACATGTGATCATAATATAAATATCTCAATGTCGATGGTGCAATCTCTTCGACTATAGGTCAAGGAACTCGTTTGGTTATCGATTTATACTTGAAATCGTCCTACATATGCCTAAACTTAAATGTAATTTATTATCTATTAGTAAGTTGACTAAAGATATGAATTGAACCATGACTTTTTTCCCTTCTCATTATGAATTTTAGGACCTCTTCGAGGAAGATGATTAGCAATAATAAGAAGAAGAATGGTCTTTACTAGATATTGGGAATAGGTTCTCCTTCTAGAAACGAGTCACTTAATAAAGCCTTTTTTTTGTTATTTCACACTCTAATGTAATGTTATGGCGCAATTGCCTTGGACATCTTAGTTTTTCCTACCTAAAAAACTTATATCCTCATTTTTTTATCGATAAGAAAGGCATTTCATTTCATTGTGAAAGTTGTATTCTTGCTAAAAAAAACCTTAAAATAACTATCCCCTATATTCTTATAAACCTTCCAAACCATTCCATTTGATCCATAGTGACATTTAGGACCAGCTCAAACACCCAACGTGTTAGGCACTCAATGGTTCATCAATTTCATAGATGACCATACACGTGTTTGCTAAGCTTACCTTATGAAAGAAAAATCTAAAGTCAGTAACATATTCAAAAAATTTCATAAGCCATGAATGTCTTTCAATCTTCTATCCATGTCCTTCGCATCGACAACGGTCGAGAATATTTTTCAAATGAATTCACCCAATATCTTATTGAACAAGGCATTTTCCATTAGAGCTCTTGTGCTTATACTCCTCAACAAAACGGGGTAGCTGAACAAAAGAACCAATACCTACTTGAGGTTGCTCATTCAATGATGTTTCTAAGTTACGTTCTAAATTCCTTTTGGGAAAAGTCGTTCTTACTGACCTCTTACCTAATAAACCACCTTCCTTCCAAAGTACTAAAATTCCAAACTCCTTTAAAAACACTCCAAGAAAAATTCCCTCACTCCTAAATCTTTAATTCCCTTTTCCCTAAAGTCTTTGGTTGTACTATATTTATCCATAATAACCATCCCAATCGAAACAAACCTTACCCTAAAACCCTCGAGTGTGTGTTCATTAGATACTCTCTTACATAAAAAATGTATAAGTGTAACTCGTCCATTCTCTCAAAAGTTATTTGTTTCTTGTGATGTATCATTTCTTGAGGATCAACTCTTCTACCTAATGCTTCTCTTGAAGGGGAGACATCAAGTGAAGAAAGACGTTAGGATCCCACTATCTCTCTTCTTATATCACTTCCAAGCTCCCACTCATACTTATAACCGGAAAGTGAATCTAATGAACTCGAACTTGACCATTTTCAATCCCACCTTACCAATCAAAAGAGAGAATCTATTTCTAAAAAAATGATTTAAGTTTATTCCGGAAGGACAAAAGGTCCTCAACAAGGCCAAGAATTAGATCTAGAGCCAAGTCTATTGGGTGAAAAAACAAACGAAGATTCTACTATGATGGATGACTTGGATGTTCACATAACTCTTTGGAAGGGGTAAGATCATGTGTTAAGTATCATATTTCTAATTACTTAACATATTCAAAATTGTCCCCTTAATTCAAGGCATTCACTAAAAGAATTGATAATGTGAATGTTCCTAAAGACATTCAAAATGCCTTACATGATTCAAGATGAAATTCAGTAGTATTAGAGGAGATGAATGCACCGATCACGAATGACTATTGGGATAGTGTGAAACTACTAAAAAATAAGAAATTGGTCGGTACAAGTGGGTTTTCGGTATTAAGTACAAATCGGATAGGAATATTGAAAGGTACACGGCTAGATTAATGACCCATGGTTTCACACAAACCTATGGCCTAGACTACGAAGAGACCTTTGCCTCGGTTACTAAGATGAACTCCATTAAAGTTATACTATCCATTTCTACCAACCTAGATTTGGAGCTCTACCAATTAGACGTGAAGAATGCATTTCGAATGGGGAACTCGGACAAGGAGATATACATGAAAATACCTCATAGTTTTGAGTTAGAAGAAGAGAAAGAAAAAGTGTGTAAACTAAAAAAATCCTTTTAAGGCCTAAAATAATCCCCAAAGGCGTGGTTTAAGAGGTTCAAGCACTACGCTCATTTGACTTGGTTACAACCAATGACAAGCGGACCACACATTATTCACAAAACATGCGAGAGAATAGGAAGAAGTCAATCTTGATTGTCTATGTAGATGACATCATAATAACGGGAGATGATAATCAAGAAATAGAGGATCTCGATAAGAAATTAAGAGCGAGTTTGAAATTAAAGATCTAGGAAGATTGAGATATTTCCTAGGAATGAAAGTAGCTAGGAGTAAAGAGGGTATTTTCATTTCTTAAAAAAAAAAGTCTCGATCTCCTAAAAGCAACGAGCAATGTTTGAACTAGAACAAGCTGGGACATTGTTGGAGAAGAATTAGAAGTGGAAAGAAACTAAAAATGATCAATCCGTGGATGAAGAAAGATATCGGCGATTGGTATGAAGCCTTATTTATTTATTTCTTACTTGACCGGACATTGCTTATGTTATGAGTATGGTAAGCCAATTTATGCATTCACCCACTTAAAGACACTTAGATTCCGTAACCCATATCCTAAGGTATCTAAAGGAAACACCGGGGAAAGGCCTATTGTTTCGAAAGAACGAAGACAAGGGAATTGAGGGTCTTGCGGACGCAGATTGGACATGCTTTGTTGAAGATAGTAAATCCACATTTGGGTATTGTTCTAAGTAATGGGGTAATCTAGTTACTTGGAGAAGCAAAAAAGTTAAGTGTGGTAGCTCGCAGACGGTGCGAAAGTAAAGTATAAAACCATTGCTCAAAGAATTTGTGAGGTGATTTCGTTGGACACATTGATGAAGGATCCGAAAATCCCTTAATACACCCCAACAAGATTATACGGTGACAACAAATCTGTCATCAACATTGTTAATGATCCAATAAAGCATGACCAAATGAAACATGTACGAATTGATCTAAGTTTTATCAAAAGACAGATTGAAGATGGAGCTATCAACTTGTCCTAGATTCCAATAAGATCTCAAGAAGTCGATGTTCTTACTAAAGCTATGCCTAGACCAAGATTTGATTTAATTATCAACAAGCTAGGAATAAGAGATATCTATTCACCATCTTGAAAGGGAGCGTTGAAAGATTAGAAGGAAAAAACCTAAATTTATTAGGATTGATACCAGATTGATCTAAAGAAATCATTCCTAAGATCGGGGACATCGATTTATTTTAGGAATTCCCTAAAATATATATGTTGTAATGTAGGATGTAATTAAAGAATATTGCTATGTATAGCGATTTAATTTAGGAATACTCTTGTATATATATCTTAGTGATTTATCATGAAAGTAGAGTGAATTTTCCTCTAAATCATTTCTCATTTCACACTTCAATGAATGTCTACTTAAGAAATCTATGACTATAATAGGAGTACACCAATAGAGCATAGTTGGTTTACTCTAAAAGCTAAGATATTTGAGAATCGAATAAAGCTGATTTGATCATAATCGAACAATACTTATAACCAAGTTTGAGATCACACTTTGATAAGTTGAATTGAGGATCAAATTGCATGGTAACCATGCTCGTAAAAGGTAATAATGAATTAATTAATCCTCCTAAAAAATTAGATAGTCATGATATCTTGCTAGAGGTCAATCTTGATTTATGTATCAAGAGATAAAAGAGGAGTCTTTTGTTCATGATACATTGCTAACATATCTAAAAGTTGATTGATTTATACATATAAGTTTAAGTATTCACATGATTAAAAAGAAGTAAAGACATTGGAAAAAATTTCTAATTTTGAAAGTTTTCTATTTTGGAAAAGGTTTCCAAAATGAAAAGTTTCATAAAATGAAAAGTTTCCTTAATTAGAAGTTTCCTAAAATGGAAGGTTTTCTATTTTAGACATCGGTCTCCTAATTTGGAAGTTGGTTCCAAATTTGAAAGTAAATAACCTAAAATGAAAATGAGTTTTTTAATTTATGTTAAAGGGTATTTTGAAAAAAAAATTTCTAATGCGGGCCGCCTAAAATTATCTAAGATTATTTATTTAAATAGTCCAAATAAATTAATTGAACCAGAATGGTTTTGGCCCAATAGGTTTAATTAAAAGCTTGAAGATATTTTGATAGGAGGATAAACATCAACCTTATTGGATAAGGATGAATGTTTTAAAGATAAAGATGAAGAAGCCCATATGTAAAATAACTCTTAATCCTTGGAGGATTAGGAAGCAATAACCTAGAGTCCTTAAAGGACTCATTGTCGTCCTTCCTTATCCAAGGAAGTCTCTCCTATAAATATATGGGAGAGGGAGGTACGGCACGAGCAACAAAATAGAGGGAAGAAATTTGACAAAGATAGACAATCGCTCTAAGGTACACGACAAAAAGAAAAATAACGAGGAGAAAATAGTTTTTTCCTAAAACCCTAATACACGTTACTTTTTCTCTTCCTTTAAGGTTTTAGCAAACTTGGTTAGATTCATTTTCTATAGGAAACACTACAAAAATCAGAAAAGGTGGAGCTAATACTCAACCAATTTTGAGTATTTTTTTGTGATGCTTGATTTACTTGGATCATCAATAGATGTCGAACACTTAGATGACTTTTCTACTAAATAATTTAGATCTATGCTATAAGAGGTAATTCTCTATTCATCACTATAATTTATGTATATATAGTTAATTAATTCAACAACACGATCTTAGGCCCTTTAGATGAAGGAAATTTTTTGTTTATTCCATACCTCCATAGGATGCATGATCCTTCGGTTGTATTATCCAACTTAAATTATTTCCTACTTAGTGGGTTTGTAATGAATGATCAAGTAATAATATTTTAAGTTATGATTGAGTTAATTATTGTGGAAAAGGAAGAAAAAGAGAAAGATGAATGAGATGGTTTTTATTTTTTTAATTTAGATTTGGGGTTTTTTTTTTTTCATTTTACTTTTAGTTTAAAAAGAGTGCCATGTGTTTTTATTTTATTAGATCACAAGGGAAAAATATAGTCGGAGTTTGGTCAACATAAAAAGTGGATTCGATTGTAAATATATATATAGTCGAAGTTTTATCATTTTACTTTTTAATTATTGTATAAGAGGTAATTTTTTATTCATCACTTTAATTTATGTATACATAGTTAATTAATTCAACGACACGATCTTGGGCCCTTTAGATGAAGGAAAATTTTTGTTTATTCCGTACCTCCATAGGATACATGATCCTTCGGTTATATTACCTAACTCAAATTGTTTCCTACTTAGTGGGTTTGTAATGAATGATGGAGTAATAATATTTTGAGTTATGATTGAGTTAATTATTGTAGAAAAGGAAGAAAAAGAGAAAGATGAATGAGATATGGTTTTTTTTTTTTTAATTTAGATTTCGGGTTTTTTTTTTCATTTTACTTTTAGTTAAAAAAAGGTTCCATGTGTTGTTATTTTATTAGATCATATGGGACAAATATAGTCCGAGTTTGGTCAAGATAAAAGGTGGACTTGATTGCAAAATATATATATATATATATATTTGGTACTCAAATTAAAAAAATTAAAGTTCAAGTACTAGTTTATGTTTGATAAAAAGTTCAAAGTAGTATCCAACCAATTAGCAATTTAGAAATACAAGGGAAAAAGACTATAATCAAGCTACAAAATCATTGTTTCTATGTAGACTATTCATGGTTAAAGTATCGACTATTGTATTCTCTTCCTAAACAATATGTTAAAAAATCACGGATCCCAAAAATTTTATGAAAACATAAATAAAGTTGAAAAGACTTTGAAAATGCCAATGTCTAGTATAAACATCCCAAGTTAGCAAAGCAATAGTATTTCTCGAATCTAACTCAATAATCTATTTAATCTTATGAGTATAACACTAATCTCCAAAGCATTTTTAATAGCTATAACATCAACCTCATTAGATTCTCGTCGGAATAGAAAATGTGCACAAGAAATTACCATCAAGATTTCTTAACACACCTCCAATACCAAAAATTATTGGCTTACCTAGGGATAAACTATCAATATTTTATTTTAGATAGCCTAAGTAAGGCTTAGATAAGGCAATAACTTGTCGACATCTAACACAATTAGTCCATATCTTGATACAATTTGAACATCATTTGAGATCGCTACCTTTGTATAGAATATGATGATCCATTTGTTTTCCAATAAACTACCTTATGGAAATCGAAAAAACATTATCCCAATCGGTTGAATATCATTGAAGATCCAATTATTCCTAGGTAGCCAAATTGTCCAAAGAATTGCATAAACAACTAAGAAGCATATTTTTTTTACATCCTTTTAAAACAAAAAAATTCCCACTCTACAAAAAAAAAAAAAAAAAAAAATCAACTTATGTGACATAACCCAAGTACAACCCCAATAAGACATAATCCGACATCATAATGTCCACAAAATATTACAATGAAGAAGCATATGCTAAGTAGTTTCTTAAACCAAATTACAAAA